CAGTACTTGCTCGTTTTTTTTTTCTTTAATATCCTTTAAGTTTGTTTAGTCTGTATTTGTTATGTGTATGTGTTTGTCTATTGTCTTGTCATCATCCTGTCCTTCCATCTGAGTCTCCTTGTTAGTTTTGGCTACTTTTGGACTCTGAAAGGAAGTGTTGGGGAGCGGATATGTCTGTGGTAAACCTAATCTACACAACATGCAGTGATTCATATAAAGCAGTGACTGAAACAGACCACAAGCAGTCCACACAAACCAACCCTTTTCATGACTTACTGTGTTGTATGATACTAAACAAAAAGGAGAAATGCATATTTTTAATATATATTTGGGAGCATTGGGAATTTATTTCACAGCAGTGGAATAAAAGAGAAAAGCAATGAAAACTAAATTATAAAAACTGTGGGTTATCATATCTAAGAAAGTGGTCACTACTTATGCAGACACATACAACAGGTTTATTTAAACTCAAACACACTTTACAAGGCCATAGACAGATCTAGAATCTAGGGCACATATTAAAAGTATTAATAGCCTAAGTCAATCTACGGTCAAAATCTAAATCAACATGTTATTTATTTTTATTTAGTACAGCGTTCAGTGCATAGGTCCTGTTACACTGTTATCAAATTTATCTTTGTAATTATGTTGTGTTTCTTTAGCGGAAATAGTCAATTTCCTCTGAATGATATGTATCTTAATTGTTTTCTCTACCTTTTTCTTTCTGAGCCTAATGTTTCATAGTAATGAATATAATGGGTGCCACACTTCATAATTTAAACTGTTTGAATATTAACATTATTGACATCATAGCATACCCATTTTGAAACCAGCTTTGATGTATAGGATCATCATCCTATAAAATCGAAAATTCAGGAGGAAGTTCTTAATTCCTATTGTTCCACGCAGTTTGTCTACAAAGGACAGTGGCTGAAAATCACAGCATGATGCTGCCACCACTGTGCCTTACAATAGGTATTGTGCTGTTTTAAGGTTTGAAAGTATCATCTTCATTCTTCTCAGCATCATACTTGTCATTATGGACAGTCCTTGTCTCATCTGTGCAAAGAACTTGTATATATATATATATATATATATATATATATATGAAGCCTTTTCAGGGGAAAGATATGTTCTCAGAAACAATAAATGAGGAGTCAAAGTAGATCTTAGGTGTTGCTCATGTCACGTCGTTTTCTGGCACCTTTAACTAAAATTGGAATACATTTTCTCCTATCAACTCAACATCTTTTCAGACCAAAGATAACACAAATATTATTTTTATATAATAAAAGGAAACGGTCCCATCTGGTTGAGTATCCTGTTGTTTAGACTGTCATTTGGCCCTTTGTCATTGTAGTTTGACATGCAGGGCTGTTTATGCCAGAATAAAAAATAAAAAAAAAGCAGTCTGGAGGAACCGGGGTCTACATTCATTTATTCCATTCATTGGAAGCGGTTTGTTAAAATTTGTTAAGATGGTAAATAGAATATATTCCTGTGAAATAAATGGAAAAATGTTGACATATCAGCAAAAAAGTCAAATAAGATAGGAGATAAAGTAATATTTTGTAAAACAGTGGTCAGGATTTGAAAAAAAAATGTATTACCTAAAAATGACACAAAACTAGAACAATTGAACCAGTAGAAATACTTGTCCCAGATAGGACTCTAAAAAAATCTTTATTTTCAAAATAGTTTCCAGAAATTATACAGCATATTCATCTTAAAACAGTTGCATGTCTTATTCTAACTGTATATCTAATTAAATGTATTTATAACTTTTTTGTAAATTTGTTTGCTGTTGCAATCAAAAGTATTCCTGCCGCATACCTAAAATATGGAAAAGGTGACTCTGCCAAAAGTCAAGGTATTGTGACTCTGGGTGGAGAAACAGGATGCTGTTGCTCAGTCCCATTGTCCTTTGGTCTGACTGTTATAAGCTATTTTGAGCTCGTAAACTGTAAAGCTGAATTGATGTTGCATTTCTTACTGAGGTTTAATTGCTTCTATGGGAGCCGGTCCTTTGTGCATCCGCTCCAGAGTGATGCAGTCTATTGTCTGTATGTTGGATTTCCACCTCAGTATGGAGAAAGGTTATGGCTGAATGCCTTACATCCGTACCGTGATGAGGTGACCTTCATTATTTTTCATATCCCACATCCCCCAACAGACCCTTGTTGATTTTGCGATTTCATTTTTACCTGAAATTAAAAATGTTGCTTTGGAACATCAAATGATTCCTTTGTGTGGACATATTCACTCTACCATATTTGACGGATGCTAATTTGAATCTAGAATTTGCTAATTTTATCTAAAGCATGAAGAAAAGAGGTCTTTGGATCCAATAAGAGTGGAAATAATGAAATTCCGCCTTGTGCATTCCATAAGAAGAGGAAGAGGGTCTTTTGCTGGAGATCTGGGATCATTTAGTATGATGGCTGTGCAGTGAAAAGAGTTTTTTGTGTGCCTCAATACAGCCTTTGTAAGTGTCAGACCGAGGACGGAGAATTATTTTGATTATCTTTTTGTTGCCTCTGTGGGAATAAAGTAGTCTTTTAGATTTGATGAACAAGAGGAGGAGAAGGTATTTGCTTATTTTCTGACTTTGCAGACTATGGTACTGGTGCGAAGGTGGAGGATGTAGGAGGGTATAGAAAAAGAAACGTTATAAGTTAGAGCCTTTCTGTGATGTCTGCAATAAAAGCTTAGCACTCACATTGTATTCTTAAGTCTGATTGGTTTTATATCTTAAAAGTCAGAATAAAAGTCAAAAATACATAAATCACAAAGGTGTTGCCATTTATGTATGTTTTATTTGAATTTGCCGACAGTTCACAAATGAAAGCTGTTTTGAAAATTATATGTCAGTATCAAAATAGTTTTATTTTCTGTTAGTTGGTTTATTAATTAGTTGAAATTCCCAAATTAAACTGTCTGTCATGGTTTTAAGGTATTTGGCCCACATGCAGACATGGACAGGGGAAAACAGTAGCAGTTTAGGATGTTTATTTACTACATAAAAATAATGAGGGGAACTCCAGAGCAGAATCTGAGCAGCAGGGATTCAGAGACCAGTCCTCAGAGCACGGAGACAGGCGGGTGAGCAATCCAGAGCTCAACGAAATGAGGGAGACAGGAGACAGGTTAGAACCAGGCATCCAACACATCAAGTTTCAAAGATCCGTCGACAGGACAGAGGCCTAGGCGTACAGCAACAGTTTAATACTCTGGCATCCTTTAGCTGACTGAATGCTCCTCTTAAGCTCAGCAGAGCAGCCTCAACGAGCCGCAGGTGCTGGACCACGCTCACCTGTCAGAACACAGAACCCTGACACGGCCATGGTTTTTGTTCTGTTTAAGTTTTCTTTTTGAGTTTTCATTGGTTTCATTTCCATTTTGTAGTATTTTACTTGTTTACTGGTTGCATTTGAGTTCTTATGTATTTCTTGTTTGCCCTCTGTTGCCCTCTTGTGTCATTCTCCTTTCTCTAGTTAGCTTCTAGATCCTTCTGTCCACACCTGCTCCCAATCAGTTGATTACCCCAGGCTTTGTTGTGTTTGGCATATACTGTATATTCCTCTCTTCAGTTACTGCTTTGCTGGTTCCTCGTCATTTCCTTGCTCCTTATGTGTGACTTTTCTGACGTCTTCTGGTTTTTGGTTTCCTGTATTTTGTTATTTTTGGATTTTTTCTTCAGTTGCCATCTTTTGGTCATTACATCTGCAAGAAACCACCTTAGCTTCCATCTCTGCATTTGGATCCTCTAAAAAACCTTGACACAACCTGACAAAAACTGGTTTCTAATTTATTTTAAATGATACTGAATGAGAATCCTTATTTCAAGTTTAAACTGCGGAAATCTGTATTATAAGCCAATCAGGTAACTATTCAAGGTTCAGTCAATGTCTGTGAGTTGACTTAGTGCAACAAAAGCTCATTAAATCAAATAGTAGGAAACAGGCTGCGCCTTATACAGTGGAGCTTGCTGCAAAACACTTAAATCAAGGACAGGGTTTCAGAGCTCATCAGTAACTGAAATATCTGATTAGGGATGGTTTTTTTTCTTATTTTATTTAGGTCAAAATTCTGACTGTGTTTGTTAAGTCTAGTCATTGTAACTTTTCGGGTTGTATTTCTCATCTTACTTGTTTTGTCCATGACACTGTTGAAATAATTTTAGTTGAAAATAGTCTTCAAAAGTTTAATGAATAAGTTCTGAATAAACTTTTTCTAGTCAGAAAAGATTAATTGAAATAGAGCTTATCACTATTTAAACAAAGGCTAAACTCTAAGCTCAAAGCAGCACATCACACTGTCCTATCATCTCAGATTAAGCTGTGAATTTTACTTTATTGAACACATAACTTAATCTAATCTGCAAAACTAAGTTTTGTGGGATTCCATCAGTTTATATGAGCTCTAGAGTCATTTCCATCTGGGTTATTGTCACCAGTGATCTGAGCTTCATTTGGGTCTCGACCCCCCTGACCTTTAGGAAGCTGTGACGGATCTCTTTGATCATGCCAAGTCTACACAGACCCCAGGCATTTTTTGAGTGTGTTTCTTGTCTCACACAGATCACCCTGTGATGGTGGGTGGTTTGATTGGAATGTGGACGTCTAAAGAGGAATTGTTCTTGTCAGTCATCATGCAAGTCTCTTTTCATAGATCCACAAGGGCCCAAACTTTCTACACGACCATCGTGACTCATTTGAGCCACTTCTCGGTGCTTCAAACTAACATGTAGAAGTGTGCAGACATTGGTGTGACAATCAGCCGCTCTGATTCAAAAGAACTGAGTGGCATTTGTGAACGACAAACCACACAAACACAGCTGCTCACACCAACAGTTCAGCCCCTGACTGTGTCCCATATATTGCACATAGAGGAACATCATGCTGTGTTTGTCCAGATGTGGTAAACATGAAATGGTGGTGTTGATGTGAATATGTGAAATCTCTGCTATGGACTAATGTTGTCTGCTTTGTGTCTAACAGGGTGGAAAGAAGCACAGTGGTCCATGTGGGGGAAGAGACTGCAGCGGAGGTTGTAAATGCTTTCCAGAAAAGGGTGCCAGGGTAAGTCCCTGTCCGTATCTGCTGCTTCCAATAGTTGTGCAAACACTCCTCTGCTTCTCTCTCTTCTCTTTGCTGACTTCACAACTTAACCATCACCAACCCCCGGTTCTCAGTCTAGAGAGCCAAATAAGGCCCTGAGGCCTGAAAGCTGATCTGAAAATAAAACTTTTTTTCTATAAGTAAAAGCAAGACATATTTAGAGCCTTGAAACTGTATTTATAGTTTTTATTTTCTCTATTTTTTGTCATTTTGCAAATGCTAACTAACTATGATGTATAGAAAACATTTGAGAAACATCTTTCACTGCATTTTTACAGCTTCCCTTTTTTTGATTAAGCTATTTTAGTTTCTGCCATTTAGAGAAACAAAATTGCCTCTTCATTCATAGCGGGAGTTTTCAACCTTGTGCAGTCCGGGACAACATCTGATGAAAAGTAGGGATGCATAGACATACAAATTGGGGCAAATATTGATATTTGATATTAATATTTCTGTTATGGTGGATAAACACTATTATTTTATATAGTATATATATGCTTCCTTATCCCTTTGGCACTATGAAAAAAGGACCACATCACTCTTCTGCTTAAAGCCGGGGGCATACACAGTGTGATATTTTCAATCGTTGTACTCAACTAAAGCTTAAACTGCACCATGAAACCGCAGGGTTTAAAAGTTCACAACACACGATGTGTGTTCTTACACTGTGCAGCCCGACAATCTGATGCGATCTACCTGCTCAAACTGCATGTCCAAAAACCACCCGTCAGACTCAGTTCCGAGAAATGGCGCTGTTCAGACTCGTCAGTCTGGAAGAAGAAGAAATCTGTTGTTTGCACATGCACAGTTTCTGGTAAATCGACTCGTAGCTCTGCTTTAACAGCAGGATTTGTCCACGAACGTTACATGAGGACCGACTGAATTTCAAACATGTTTGATTTTCTCCCGACTTTACAATTCCTGATTGGGAGGTGGTTGTGAGAGGCTAATCGCCCCTCGTTACCCAATGTGCACTACACGATGGAGGATGCACAATGAGGCTGAAAAGGGCAAAAATTCTTCAGGTATATGCCTGGCTTTAGTTAAACATCCACAATCCTGCTCTGAATAACTTTCCCTTTGAAATCACTAACCCACTCCCCTCGTACGCCTAGTTAATTGATCGAAATAAACATCGGTTTTTGATATCAATCTATTTTAACTTTAGCAAACTGTTAAAAAATGACTGATATTTTATTGTACATCGCTAACGGTGAGGCTGTACAAGATGGCACTGACAACGGAGGAGGTTGAGGATGCTAAATAAGGTGTGTCACAGAGATTTCAACAAAAGTGATGGAGAAAACATGATGCTAACATCATTATGTTTCCCCTTAAAGATTATCAGAACAATGTTCAGTTATTTTTGGTCTCCTCTACATGTTTAGAGATTAGAGGTCATATTTTGGTCATCTGTTTTTCAATTCTAAACATGCAAACTTTTAGATTCTGTGTAGAGGTGAGAACTTTACACAAAAGCAAATTCAAATTTTCACATTTTTACTTGAAAATGATTTTTTTTTTCACTTCACAATTTTAGTTCTGTTGAATAGGCCTGTTGCAGCAAATCTAAAACCTCCTCCTAGAGTCACCTCTGAGCATGCTCTGCAGCATGAGTCACTGTAATGTATAAATCATTAAAACAATCTTTTATAAACATTCTAAATAATATGAATCCGTCAGACTGATTCGGCTCCATAGGCATATG